CAACATTGTATTTTGAGACCCTCAAAACTTAAGGTTGCTAAATCTCATATGAAAACCCCCCTTAGCTGTTAAAACAACTTAGGTTCAATTTTATGAAATCCATTAACCCACACCTAAAACCTATCTCTTAACCTAATTCTACACCCAATTACCCTGAAAAAATAAGGTAGAGAGGAGGAAGGGCCTTCACACACACACACATACACAAAGAGAGTGAGATTTCTTCTTATGTAAGTGACTACCAAACTAGCCAACTAAAGGAATAAAGGATAGATTTCCTAGTCAGATTTTCCATCCAATCGGCTGCAGGAATTAGAGAAAAGAAAGGCGAGGGCAAATTAGATAAAGATTCCAATCAGGCCCTTTTCATTAGCTAAAACCTTCAATCCACATTGATTCTTTGACCATCACCAAACTAGCCATTTTCCATTCATAATAAACTCCATACACCTCAAAATGCACTTACCTACCAAATTATACCTAGGATTCCCACCACTTATCCCTTCATTAAACATGGATTCCATTTTAATCCTTCCTATTGGTCAAAATCTTTAATCCCCAAACCACCAGCCAACTAAATCAAACTAGTCAAATATAACCATTGAATTTAAGAACATCAAAACCTCCATATACTTAATTTTATCCAAAATCTCCATCATTTGACCACCCATTAACTATTGATTCAATTTCAGTCTTTCCCATTAGCTAAAATCTTTCCTTCTAAAATCCACCTATTTGACACCAATTTGGATCAATAAAAACCACCATTAAACCTAGATACTTTGAAATACTTATCTACCAAATTTTACCCTATATCTCTTCTATTTGGTCCTAAATCAAATACAAACATCAATTTAAACTCTGTTATTGGCTAAATCCTTGAATCTCTGACACACTTCTAGACCAATCAAGCATTATCATTATATTTCAAGAACATTAAAATCTCCCATATACACAATTTCATCCAATATCTCTCACCATTTAATTACCCATTGTACTTAAAACCTCCATTTACCAAACTATCACCCAAAATCGTCTTCATTTTACTATTCATTAAACAAAGATTTCACTTTGCCCCCTTTTATTAGTGAAATCCATCACCCTTCTACATTTTCCACCTCCTAGCATCTTCAAACCCACTAAACTATAACAATGTATTCAGAGCCCTCCAAAACCCAAGGCCACCAAGTCTCGTAAGAAAACACTGCATCTAGCCCCTAAAAAAATAGATTCCATTTTGTGAAATCTCATTAGCTTACATTTAAAAACCCCATCTCTTGAGTTGATATTACACCTAATCACCCCTAGAATAGATCTAGACCCTCTAGATTTTTCACTTGAACACTCCCCCTTTGATGAGAACCTTTTTATTATAGCCTTCCAAGAAAATTACCAAAGCACCCCTAATTTTACCAAAATACCCATGCCCCTTTACATATAAATATACCATGAGGGACAAAGTAGAAGATGCTTAGGAGATAAGTAGATAATCCACTTGAGAGTCTATAAGGTGAATTAAATAGAGTGAGAGTTGTTAGAAAAAAATGATAAGGGAGAAAATGAGGTAGAAAGGGGTAGGCCTTCAAATAGAGTGAGTGAGTGTGTGTGCGTGCACACGCGTGTGTGTTTGTGTGAGAGAGAGAGATCACTTTCTTCTTCTTTAAGCAWTTGTAAAATTGACTGAAATTTTTTCTTGATAGATTTTCCATCCAATTGGTTGCAATGATGGAAGGAAGGAAAGGTGAGTGTAGACTTCTGGATTGATTGACCGGTTGCAAGGAGGAAGGGCAGGAAAGAAAAACTAACTCAACAAAGTCCAATTGACCAAAATGAAGGTGGGTTTGCTTTCGACACCCCCTCCGTTTCATAATCTACTATTGAACACAATTGCTTATAGATCCACCTGCTGAAACTATTGTTTCTCTCTTTTTCACTCTTAAACCAAAGCACCCAGTGTCACTCTACTTGCAATATTCATCACTATCGCCATTGCCTTCTCAACATAGGTTCAAGTATAATCCTTATCCAAACACAATACCATTTGTATGGACCTCTCTAATCAATATTCAATCTTATGGTTCTCTTAACCTAGATCTTCCATGTCAAGACTAATTTGATCCATTCACTAAGCTTTATAAATTCCTCTTAGTGCATTGTCTTGTTCAAATCCATTTGGGAGCTTAACCAATTAGTCTCTTGCTACCCACTAGACTTTTTCATGGATTGGGTAGCCTGAAGGGCCAGCTCGCTGTAAATTGGGCTTGGACAYGATTTTAGGTTGTGGGCTCGGAATAGGGCCTAAAATACCAGGCTTGACTTTTTTCGGGTCAGACTCAGGCTTTCTCAAAAAATCCCGACTCGAGCCCGAGCCCGAGCCCAAGCCCAACTAGATAATATATATTATATAATAAAAAACCTATTTTATTTAATAATATATATATATATATAATAGTTTTTCTTTGTTCATCTTCTATTTCTTTTAAAGTAATAGTGAGATCTTTTATTATTTATGGGTTTTGAGGGATTTTAATATAAATAAAGCATTTTTTATTGAACAACAAAAGAAAAGAATTTGTTATCAAATTTCTGGTTAGGCTCGGGCTCGGGCCTGGGTTTCGAGCTTTATACGAGGGCCGGGCTTGGGTTTTTGCCTAAATGTATTCTATTGATACAGAGTCAAAATCCTAGCATGAACTTGGCCCATGAACAGGTCTACTACCCACTCATAGTACTGGCCACATAGCATCAAACTCATCCAAGAAGGCTACATATAGAGGCAGTTGAGCCCTCCCAAATTACTTGAAGTTGATCTAAGATTAGATGCCAAGTTCCTCTTTGGCTTGATTTTGTTCATATTTATGCCATTGCCTTATTTGGTTCGGTGGTCTTAGTATCATTTCTGGTCTTACCTCATCTAACTTGATAGGTTTCAATATGTTGAAATCCCAATTCTCATAACTTGATCCCATGTTTATGATTGAATTGATGAACTTGGTATTTCTTATGGCATGTAATTTGATGAAGGTTACTGGTGCTACCTAATTTGACAGATTTTTCGGGTATCAATTTTAGCTGATTATTAATTAAACAGTTCGGGTGGTGATAATTAGAGAGTTACCAGTTCATGTGAGGTTTTTCTTTTTATTTTTGCTGTTCTGCTTGAGTGCTATAATAATTGACAGGATTAGCTTGCTTCTAGTATTCTCTATGGCTGTCCCCCTTTCTAATGTTGAATTATATTGTTAGTCCCCTTTCCATGATATTGTTTTCTTCTTTGTTTCTCATTAAAATGAATGTTTTATATTTGATGATTTATATGATTCTCATATTAAGTTTTTAATTGTTTTATCTTCTTGTAATAGCTTCCCACTCATCTTCTAGGTTGGAGTCTAGCGATGAGTGTTCTTGAACTATCTCTAACCATTTAATTATTGGTTTTAATGAGTAAAGATGATAAGGACCTTGGATAAAAAGGGAGAGAGAGTGAATACTCCTACCCTTTGCTCCTCTAAGGGTGCCTATATCCAAAAAGGGAAACCATGATTAGATGACTTGAGAAGTCTCTCCTCTAAAGGGTGCCTATATCAATCTAGATCTGGATGACAAGTTTTGTGTTCACATTTTACATGCAAGTTTTATTAGCTATGAGGCCAATCTGCTTAGAATTTCTTATACAACTAATGTATTGGCTGCTATTCAACCATTACAAACACTATAAATCGACCTTGTCATAACATTGTAGTACAATTGTTGTAGCATGGAAGGAAAGCAATGAATATACATGTTTTCCCTGGCTTTGACTGTGTGGAAACAACATTGCAATTCATGCTTTTATGTGGAACAATGGAATAATGATGTTTGATGTTAAAAACCCAAGTCTTGAATTATGTTTTAACACTCATTTGCATCTCACATGAATTTAAGCTCAACACACAATACCAAACCAAATTGACTATTAGGTATATAAATGGTTCCATATGATCTATAATTCTATATGGTTTTTGTTTTCAAGTTCTATACAATATATCACAAGTTGTAGCATATAGCAGATTTTATTTTTCATCTTCGCCTGTAATTCTATATCCAACTTTGTTCAGATTTGTGCAAATCCTATCACTGGTGGTTTCATTTAACAAGCTATAGCTACCTTGGATAGTAATAAGCTGATACCAGTGCCTACAATCTTCAGGCTCCATGAAATTTTGATGGGTTCTTATGAAACCCTAAAACCCAAATAGTGTAATTTAGAAAATGGATTTCTCCCAAATGACTCAGTTTCATAATTCATGGAAATATTTTTTTGAGAGCTTAGTTCCTAACCTGCTAAATAAGAAAAAGCTTACAGCAACTTATTTCATATAGATCAGATTAAGCCCAGAGAAATTAAGGTCTGAAGCACACCCAAATTCATCCAATTCCCAATTACATATATATCCCATATCAGCTTGTTCATCTTTGGTGATCTTCTGATTCAAATTTTTATGACCATTTCTGATCCAAATTCCATGATTCTTGAACCTATGTGTTTATTTGCTAAATCACTATCTATTATGATCAAAAGAATCGAATTTAGTGCCCAACATTCTCTTAAAATGACATTAAACTGCAATAGAGTCATGCTAAACCCTAGTCCAGACCAATGCAGCTTCGGAAGTAAATTTCTCCCAGATTCCTCAACTTTAGGAGACGATTAAGTACTCATTGGAAAGCTGAGCTCTCAAGCTACAAATCAAGCCAAACCCCATTAAAATTCGCCCAGTAAAACTCAATTTACAGTAAATGAAATCGAGGTGAAAAGCACAACCAAAGTAACCCCAAACCTCCATTTCCTTTAGAACCCATCCGAACCTCACCGATATACACCGTGTGAACCGTCGATAAAGATTAATCCGAAGGCCCACATTTAAACTTTCAAAGTTGGAGATCCGAGTGAAAGGTCTGTGGACCAATCATCTCTCGCCTTCTTGGCTATCGCCTCGACCCGGTGCGTATTTAAACCGTTCCCATACTCAGTCACTTATCAACGAAAAATCCAGCACAACCACCGATCTTCTTCCTCATAGATATAGATCTCCTGTTTCTCCCTCTAAACCTTAATCCTAATTTCTGATTCTCGATTCTCAGCTTCTTACACCATCTATGGCGCCCACTGAAGAGCCTACTGTCGCCGCGGAAACAGCCTCCGATCCCGCCGTGACCGAGCCGGTTGAGGAGAAACCAGCGGCTAAAGCTTCGAAGCCCAAAAAGGCTAAGGCCCCGAAGGAGTCCAAAGCTAAGAAGGTGGCCAGTCCTAAGAAACCCAGGAATCCTCCCTCTCATCCTCCTTACATCGAGGTAACTTACCAAATGCAAATGCAATCCTTCCTTCTATTCGTTTCTGCTTGTGTTCAATCTATCTAGCTTTGTCTATTACGTTCTTTAGATCTGATTTGTGTTGGTTTATTTGAAACCCTAGATGATCAAGGAAGCGATCGTATCACTGAAAGAGAGGACTGGTTCGAGCCAGTATGCCATCACCAAATTCATCGAGGACAAGCAGAAATCCCACCTCCCACCCAACTTCAAGAAGCTTTTGCTCTTCCACTTGAAGAAGCTTGTTGCTGCTGGGAAGCTCGTCAAGGTCAAGAATTCCTACAAGCTCCCGCCATCTCGACCTGCAGCCGCTCCCGCCGCCAAGAAGCCAGCATCCGCTCCCGCGGCCAAGAAGCCGGCAGCCGCAAAGCCCAAGGCATCAGCCAAGCCCAAGGCCGCAGCTAAGCCCAAGCCTGCTGCAAAGCCAAAGGCCGCTGCCAAACCTAAAGCCGCCCCTGTTAAACCCAAGGCCGCCGCGAAGCCGAAGGCTGCTGCCAAGCGGAAGCCGGCGGCAAAGCCGAAGCCTAAAACAGCCAGACCAGCAAAGGCTGCCAAGACATCAACAAAATCGACTCCCGGGAAGAAGGCACCAGCTGCAAAGCCTGCTGCGGCAAAGAAAACTCCCACCAAGAACGTGAAGAAGCCCAAGAGTGTTAAGTCGCCGGCCAAGAAAGCTCCGGCGAGAAAAGCCAAGAAGTGAGGATTGATGTCGTGTTCGGTCAAGGGGTAGCTTTTGTAAATGCGTGAATGAATTGGGGTATTTTTACAATGCTCAAAAAAAGATAACGGAACAGGATTTGTACAACAATGCAGCTCTTCCTCTTTTTTTTTTTTTCTTTTTTAATTTTAAAATCTCTTTTTCTAGCCTATTTGTTTTTTCAGTGTTTAGGGAAATGTAGATGTAATTTGAGATTGGGAAACTAACCACTCAGATCGTTTCCCTCCTTTGTACTCACTTCCGATGCTGAAATGTGTTGATCAATTAGAATTAATAGACTTTCTTTTCTGCAACTGAGCTTGGTTTTCATCAAATAAGGTTTTGGTTCACGTTAGCATTTTCTTATGTTTCGTCAATCGTCAATGGTGGCGTACTGTTTCTCTCGTTACAGAGATGAACGTTTTGGGAGCTTCCTCTTCCAACTTGCGCACGTTATACTTTCTCGTATCGTTGCTAATGTCAGTATTAAATAATTCAATCTTAATATTCCTCAGCGATGTGTTTTTGGTGTTGACTAATCGCGGCGCATGTTTAATGTTTGCTGGTGAAAAATACGCCGTTGGGCAGTGGGTTAATGTTTGAGTTAGCCACCGGTGTACGTTATGAACAGGGGCGCGTCTTGGACACGTAATGCGGTAGCGTGTTTTGTATTTTTGAATAATCCACGTAATTTATCTGATTCAAGAAGTTTCTTGTTAGTCGTAGGATAAACGGATGGGGTCTGTTATTTAATCCTGGTCGTTGGATTGGTGGGTCACGTTCGTTTTGACGCTTTTGGACTATAGCCCTTGATCCGTGATAAGGGGATGATAGGGACCATTCAACGCAATAGCATTTTCCTTCGATTCTTCTTCTTTTCTTCTCTGGTAGCTAATTCCCGCCTTTCATTTTTGCTTTGAAGTAGGGTTTCCATTTCTATTTTCAAATCTCAGTTTTCGTTTCGAGCGGCTTTCGCAGGATTGCGCAAGAAACGGTTCTTTCCTTTTGTTATTTATTTATTTATTTATTTGTAGACACAAGTGGTGTGCTTGTTTTTACAGGTTTGGAGCACTGTGATGAGATGAACACGCGATGACCGATGATTTCCCATCAATTTTCACTGGAGCATTGCAGATAAACTGGTGAATGAAGTACCTGATTTTTCAATCACAGAGAACAAAAAATAGGTTGCGATGCAAATAATCTTAGGTTAAACTTGGTTGAGCAATGCTCATACTTGCTGGTATTAGCTTCTAGAGTACTATCGCCTTCTTTCCTTGTTCTATTTGTTATTTAGAGGAATTGCAATTTCATTAGGGAGATTTATTGTGAATCAATGTGAAATATTAAATGGAATATTTTAAGTATAGGTGCAACTCTTTTTGTGAATCTTCATTAGGAAAATTGATTGGGCAGGAGTCACGCATTGTCGTCAAGCTCTTCGTTAGTTCCTGCTGAAGTTGAAATATGGTGCTGGATTTATCATTTTTATGTTCAAATTTGTTTCCTGTGCACCGTTATCCGCTTGGTAAGTTTTTGTTTAAAACTGCATGACTTTGTTATTGCTTAGATTGGTCAGTTTTTGTTTAAATTAATACTCACTTGTCAGTTGGTAGATTTTTATATACGTCAATAATTTTAAGACATTAAAAAGATATCCTTACTGTTCCACAGGTGATTTAAAGGGACGCAAGACATTATTATGATATCTCTCACTCAACATTTTTGTGGTAGCATGGTGGTCAGCACGGTAACTATTTTGGAAGGTTCATTAATTCTTTTGTTGTTTATGCCAAGTGGTTGTGCACTTAGCTCTAAGTTCTTTTTGTCTCTCAAACTATAATATCTATTTCCTCYATCCTTTCAGAACGCAAAGTGGGAAAATGATGGTAAGGCTCCAATCAGTTGAGCATTCCAGCCAGGAGAGAAGGGTTTGACACTGATCAATGAGAAACCCTATAGAGAATGTATAAAGCATGTTAGGTTAAGTTACGAAGACAACTAAACTGGTAAAAATGCAAATTGCCAATACAAACTTTATCATGAAAGGTTTTTGACTTAATGTTGGGAAGGACTCTAATAGTTCCTGGAAGATGTGGGTTAATAAAGAACTAGTATAAGAGCACATTCTATGCACGTGTGTACGATTAAAGGATATAAAACAAACAACCTTAATTCCAATACTTTGTTTTAACTTTTATGACATGCATGGGAACTGAGCAAGTATGCACTGTATATAGTAAAGTTAAGAACATTGTGACACAGTGTTGTTTGTAGGCCTACCAAGTGAGCCAACAAATAGGTTATTGTTCAAGTGTCGGTTATAATCTTGATTAGGAACCAATGATAATAGGAGATAGGTTTGAAGGAATACAAAAGTTAAGAAAAACAAACTACCATGAAGGCCCAAAACCTTATCATAGTGTTGAAGAAACATCATGAAGGCAAGGATCCCCAAAAATGTTATAATTCTACTATCCCAACGTCTGATCCATCAACTCAACTGCCAGTCCATGTTTCTCAAAGAGAAGAAGCTCTAACGTTATGTTGAATTTAAAGTGGACATATGTGGAAACCAGGGGAGAGGTCCTTTTGCAGGTATGCTTTGTGGAGTGGGGTTTTTAGACTGTCAATGGTGATCTTGATGTTTAAATGTTTTGGATAACTTTGCTCTGGATTTATAAAACTGAATTTTGATGGCAGTAGCTTAAGGAATCCAGGGTCTTTGGGGATTGGGGGAGTATTCAGGAATGAGGAAAGGATTATTACTGCTATGTTCTCAGGCCCAATTGGAGGAGACTCTCTTAGGGCTGAGATCCTTGCAKCTTTGGAAGGAATCCAAAGAGCAAGAGAACTGAATATTGGACGTTTGGTCCTGGAAGGTGACTCGAAGGTGGTGATTAGTTGGCTAAAGGAATAAAGACAGTGGTTTGTGGAGCTATAACAATGAAAAGAAAAAATTCAATTGGCTGTGTAGGGACATTGAGATGCAATACAGCTGGGTGAAGAGGACTACTAACTCATTTGCAGATGGGCTGGCCAACACATTTTAAGGGAAATCAAATGCCTAGATAAGGAGATGCTGATGTATGTAACATTTAGGTCAGTAAGGAGGACTGCACATGGAATGGCAGACTCCTAAGCAAAGGAAGGGGTTTATAGGCAGCAGCTGTTCTGGGCAGAATTGTCACTGTTTTTTTGTCTTATTTGGGTTGTTGGATTTATTCCAACCTGTGTTTGTAATATATTAATAACATTTGCATTGCTGATAAAAAAATGAGAGAGGTACAAAATGCTAATTCATTCCTTTGATGGATGGGGTTGTTCATGTAGAATAAAAGATGGATCACAATAAGGGGTTTAAAAAAATGTACAGTTGGTAAGGGTTTGGGATTGTTTTTTTCTGGGTGGAGAGGAATATGCTAGAAAAGCTTTTATTGAAGTATGAACAAGAGAGTGCTTTAAAAATTTTGCATGCGTAGGGGCATAGTTTTTAAGTCGCCAAGGCGAGGCGAAGTGACTGGGGGGTGCCTTGTCGCCTACTTACCTAGGCGGGCGCCTAGGCAGTTCCTAGGCGATGGATTTTTTATGTAGAAAACATAGATTCCAGGGTAGTTCCCTAGGTACCATAACCATATTTCCTTAATAATAATTCATAATTTTCATAAGAAAGTATAGAGTTCATGTTAAAGTATAGAAAATCAACATATTAATGAGAAGAAAAAGAAGGAAAAGAAAATTCAAAAAAATATAGGGGCTGAACCCTTATTTTTGTTATAGGAAAAGAAGAAAAGAAGCTGTAGTAGAAAATGTGTTGATTAGACAAAATTTTAAGTTGGTCCTTACTTATTGGTTCAGGTTTTAAAGTTTTGAGGGTTCAATATAGCATTTAGAACCTATTAAAAGAATATTTTAGTTTAATAGTGCGTATTTTATATGTTTAAATACAAACATATAGGTTCTAAATAAGAAAATAATAAAAAGAAATTAGTATATAAACATATAAAATGAATATTTTAGTTTAATAGTGCCTATTTTATAATTATAATGTCAAAAAAATAAAGAATAAAAAAGTATTTTATAATACATAGTCAAAACTGCTTGGTGATTAGATGAGCCGAGCCTCAAAGGGCGCCTTGTCGCCTAGGCGTTGCCTTGACAATACATCCATCCCTCCCCAGACCCCGCATTAGCGGGAGCTTAGGTTTAGGAGTTCAATCTTCTTCATAAATTTAAGGCTATTGTAATAGGATAATGTATGGAATGGAGTGAATAAATTTTCTGGGTTGGGTGGGTGATGGAGGATGGGAAGCTTTTTTTAAGATAGAACATCTAGGGTTGGTCTTCTTTCTATATTTATTTACATATTTAAGCAAAGGTTTTTTCTTTTTTTTTTTTAAATGTGTTTATGGAATTTAAGAACCCAAGGCTGGTTGGGAGGTGAGATGTTTATGGGCTATATAGAGGATTGGATAGATGTTGTGATGTGAATTTTGGAGGTGTCTTTTCTTTTTTTATTGAAAATTTCTTTTATTATCAAACAAAGAAACTTCTGTTTGGTTTTAACATGGGGCTCGATAAGATACCAAAAAATTGTAAAGCAATCATTTTTCTTTGTGTTAATTATTCTACCTTGTTTCCTGATATAATAATCCCATAGGCCCCAATTTTGTCAACCAACTCAGAAATGTGGCACTGAATTAATATTCAGGATATATCTTCTTTGGTGTCAGTTATAACAGGAAAGACCTGTGGGGTTCATATCTCATCTAGCCAGTTGGGGAAACTGGAGAAGACTTCCATGGAGGCATTTCTAATGTTTTATCACCGTCCAGTTATCCTTCTGGAGGCATTTTGTGGGCTTATTACCTACAGGATTCTGGAGTTCATCCAAGTTGCATGGTGAACCTTTTGATATATCTTGTGTTCCAAGTTACATAGAGGCATTTTAAGTGAAAATTCATAATTCTGGAGAGTTGATGTAGTGGGCATTTTGGTAAATCTGCCTAGTTCTCATTGTAGCCGAGTTCAATCAATTTTGGAGAGTTGGTCACAAGTTGTCTCATGAATGTCCTCCAAAGGTGGGGTGTCCATGAATATTGCCTTTTTTGGATCAATAGCAAACAATTTTATTAATTGAAATCCATCGAGATGCACTAGGAGATATAACGACATACAATCATTTAGAGATAAAACTTATCTCCACCTCGTTTCCAAATTATTACAATTGTGTTTCTGCCCTTTGAACCCATTATACTCTTATTTCCATTTCTCTAGTTATGCATCTAAACTTTTTAATTTCATTCTTGTAAGCCCATAGAGCATCCTCCCCACTCTACATCCACCTTATCAGCAATTTTGAATCTCCTTCAATCACCAATTTGTTAATGTTCACCTTCTTTGCTATTTGTATGCCCTCCATTACTGGCAAGATTTCTGCTCTTAGTAAATCTCCTACACCAATGCAACGAACAATACAATCCAATATCTTTCCTTCATTACTAAGCATGCTACCCATTCTTGAGGGTTCTGAATTCCCCAGATTGCTCCCACCAAAGTTTAGTTTAACAAACCTTATTTTTGGTATCCAACTACTAGTTTAACAAACCCTAGTACCCTACTTAGGGATCCAAGTCATTTTGGGCATGTGAAATTGGTAATAAAAGAATATGTGAAGTAGCATTATAAACCCATTGTTGTTACAGAAATCAAGAAAGAAACATAAAGAAAAAAGTGCAAACAGAGAAGAACAGACAACATTTAATGTGGTTTGGCATTTCTTTTTGCTTACATCCACTGAAGATCCCTGTGAAATTGTCTATTCTCAATTAATTGAATGCAGGCATAGTAAACAGATAAGAGTTTTATATAATCAAATCAGGTCTCTGAAGTACCTTTGAGAACATAAGTTGGAAATGGCCTTAGTAGGGAGCTTTATTTAAAGGAGGAAATACAACTAGAAGTGAAACCATGGAGGCCAACGACAATGATGGCCGTTGTGGGACTAGCGAGGTTCTAAGAAGAGAAGTTGAATAAGGCTAGGCGGCTTTCCTGTCTGGTTGGACCAATCCTCAAAAACTCCAGTCCAAGGATTGATAACCCAGAATAACCCAAGCTTGTCCAACCCTAATGGCCAGGCCTAGTTCACTTTACCCTTTAAATGCCTCACATGGGCCAAAGTGTTGGCTCATAGGGAAAAAGGTTTATGTTATAACTGTAATGATAAGTTTGGGCAGGAACACAAATAAGGCCCAGTAGGTCTTCTTGCTTCAATTCAGACAGTGAAGGGCTGATTGGGCCCAATAGCCCATTGGAGAAGGAAGATGCTAGTGAGTTGCTGTGGATGGGGACTCCCTAGATATCAATACAGGCTTTGACCGGTCAAATTTCCCTGCAGACCATGAGGGTGAAGGGAGTTTTAATGGGATGGCCTTTTTCCATACTTTATAGATAGTGGCAGCTCTCAAGTACCTCTGAGAACATAATGGTAAAATAAATATTGAAAATACCCCTGTATGGATGATGTACGATTGAATTTTGCATATCCTTTTGGCTGGGGATATTCCCCTCAATGTCTTTTCATTGAAACTGCTGGGTAGTTCAGCTTGCCTTCTGCTTTTAAAAGTCTCCTCTTTGCTGCTGTTTTTTTTTCTTGTAACTCGTTACACAAGACCTTTTTATCACCTATGGTCCTAAAGGTCTATACTTGCAGGCCCTTCAAGAAGCCTTTGAGAGGATAAGACCTATCATTAGAGGCCTTCCTTGGGTCTGACATGATATTTGAAAGATCTCTCTCTCTCTCTCTCTCTCTGGTAAATGATACCAAAAGATCTTCTCCAGTAAAATCTTTAGAAAATTGTTTTTTTTAATGGATATTTATTGTTTGATAGATCCTGGAGATTTTCTAAGATTTAAAACATTTATTGCTCTGGCTATATTCAAGATAGTCTAAGAATTGCTTAGTTTCCAGAGTTATTAATGCTGGGGTAGTAGATAGAAGGATAGGTCAATGTGTAGTTCAACAGATGCTCTAAATCTAGGGGACAATCCAGAGAATAGTTGTTAGTTTTCTTCTAGTAGCAGAGAACTACTAGAAAACAACAAAGAGAAGAAGAAATCGCATGTTTCTTCAATACAGATTTCAAGAGGAGGAAAGAACAACCGCAGAGAAAAACAAAATCCT